GCACCAAAAACTCCAGAACAGAAGCTGTGGCTCAAGTGGTAGAGTGCTAACCTTGAACACAAAAGTTCACTGAGGATGGCATCCAGGCCCTGAGTTCAAGCCCCAGGATTAGTACGCTTGTGCATATACAACCTACAATGTTGATTAAGGAGTCCTGTATCGCTTGTGTTTTTGGAGAGAATACACTAAGTAAGTTGCCACAAAAATGCAGACTATTACATACTTACAAGTCTCTCATTGTAAGTTAATAGTTCCCCACAACACTTCAGTCTTAGAAATTTATTATTTTGGGTCAATGTCACCCAGCTAGATTCACAGTGGAACTGAGATTACTGGCTTTTGTGTGGTGGTAAAATCCTCTAGTAAAAACTTTCTCTAGGCTGGGAATGTGGCTTAGTGGTAGAGTGCTTGCCTAGCATGCATCAAACCCTCAGTTCAATTCCTCAGTACCAGAAAGTACTGCTGCGACTCAAGTGGTAGAGTGCTAGTCTTGAACAAAAGAAGCTCAGAGACAGTGACCAGGCCCTGAGTTCAAGCCCCAGGACTGCCAAAAAAAAAAAAACCAAAACCTTCTCTAAGGTATCTTGGAACACCATTGCTAGCATGGTCATTTCAGCTGGCCTTTCTTTGGAAACTTCCACATTCACCCAGGACATGGTTTGGTTTTGTATTTGCTGGTACTGGGGCTTGAACTTAGGCTCCAGCACTCTAACTCAGCTTGCTTGCTAAGGTGGCACTCTACCATTTGGGCCATGCCTCTAGCTCTGTTTTTTTGCTGGTTATTTTGGAGATAGAGCCTCATGTACTTTTCTGCTAAGCTGGCCCCAGCCCTTGATCTTCTGGACCTTAGCCTCCTTCTTAGCTTGGATTACAGGTATGAGCCACCAGTTTGATAACATTATTATTAGCATTGTTATTAACTAAAAGCCCATATTTCATTCAGATTTCCTTTTTTTTGGTTTTTTTCTTTTTGGTTCCCATCCAGGTCACCTCATTACTTTTACTTACTATATCTTGGCTGTGGCAGCTTCTCAGATTTACCTTACTTGTGATATTAGTTTTGTGTGTGCATGTGTTGGTCCTAGAGCCTGAACCTAGGGCCTGAGAGCTGTTTCTGAGCTTCTGTTTCTTGATCAAGGCTAGTGCTTTATCACTTGAGCCACAGATCTGCTTCTGGATCCTCGGAGTTTATTAGAGATAAGAGACACAGACATTCCTACTGGGCTGGCTTTGAACAGCAATTCTCAGATCTCAGCCTCCTGTGTAGCTAAAATTACAGGCATAAGCCATTGGTGCCCGGCTAGTCTTGACATTTTTGAGGAGTTGCGATCTGGTATTTTGTAGGTGCTGCTCTACTGGAATTTGTCTGCTGGTTTCTCATGATTAGTCTGGGGTTATGGGTTAGATAACAAAGGTGAAGTGCCATTCTCATCCCATCCAATCCAGAGTATATACCAGCAACAAGGCTTATCACTGCTAACATTGATCTTAACTCTGAACTTTGAGGGCTGGGGGTACAGTTCAGTGAGTATGAGTACTTACCTAACAGGTACAAGACTCTGCATTCAATCCCAGAGTAAATAATAACGACTTATTATTGCTGGGCACTGATGGCTCACGCCTGTAATCTTAGCTACTCAGCAGGCTGAGATCTGAGGATCACAGTTCAAAGCCAGCTTGAGAAGAAAAGTCCCTGTGAGACTCTTATCTCTAATTAACCACTCAAAAACTGGATGTGGACTGTGGCTCAAAGTGGTAGAGCACTAGCCTTGAGCAAAAGAGTTCAGGGACAGCACCTAGGCCCTGAGTTCAAGCCCCACAACTGACAAAAAAGTAAGTTATTATTATTATTATTGTTATTGTTATTATTATTATTGAGTGAAGGCTGCAAGGCCTAGGGGGTGGGGAGGAATAGCACAATCTTGATTTCTCCAGGGTTTCCAGATGGCTGCTTTGTAGAGATCAAACCACCACCCCAATCTCACTGTGAAAGTACTCAGGATTCGCTGTTAGAATTGGAATCTTGACTATTTGGTCAGGAGGGAGAGGGTATGTTCATAAGGAAGAAGGCTTCCTATAAGCTCCTGAGTAAGTCTTTAGTACAAGTATTATCCTGCCGCACACCCATTATCTATCGCTAAATGCTTCAGTGGAAAATTTAACCATATACCATTAGTTTACTGAACATTAAAAGTTGAATCAGTAGAACTATGTTCAAAAAGCAGAACTGCTGATGGCTTCCCATGTGACTTGGCCATGATATAAACTTCCCTATTCTCTAGGTTTCAATATCTCAATCTATGTAACAAGGAAAAGGTTTCCTACTGTGTTTTATCTTGCCAAATTCCAGGGTCCAAAGAACAGCTGTGTGCCTTTGAGGCCTTAACTAAAAAAGGGTCTTACACACCAAGGCTAAACTACTTACTCTTAGCTCAAAATAGAGTATGGCTGGGTGCCAGTGACTCATGCCTATAATCCTAGCTACTCAGGAGGCTGAGATCTGAAGATCTCAGTTCAAAGCCAGCCCAAGCAGAAAAGTCCCCATGAGACTAATCAACTAACCACTCAAAACCCGAAAGTGGTGCTGTGGCTCAAAGTGGTAGAGCACTAGCCTTGCGCAAAAGAGGTCAGGGACTGGGCCAAGACCCTGAGTTCAAGCCCTATGACCAACCAACAAATAGAAAAGATCAGTATGAATGATTGGGAAGGATATTTTATGCTATAGATCACTTATAATAGGTAGGTTGTGGGTTTGTTTGGGTTTTTTTTTTTTTGCCAGTCCTGGGACTTAAAATCAGCGCCTGGGCACTGTCCCTGAGCTTCTTTTGCTTAAGGTTAGTGCTGTACCCACTTGAGCCACAGTGCCACTTCCAGCCTTTTCTATTTATGTGGTACTGAGGAATCGAACCCAGGGCTTCATGTGTGCTACACAAGCATTCTGCCACTAAGCCACAGTCCCAGCCCTGGGGGGGGGGGGGGATGTTCTTTTGATTCCAGTTTTCCACTGGCTACTTTTTCTCTAGTGGGTCTGTTGCCTGAAAAACTCCTGGGGTTACTGTTTTCACCCCACTCTCTCCCTTTTCTTTTCTTTTTTTGTTCCTGTGCTCATACTAGGGCTTGAACTCAGGGCCTGGGTGCTGTCCCTTAGCTTTTTCACTCAAGGCTGGAGCTCTACCATTTGAACCACACTTCAACTTCTGGCTTTTTGGTGGTTAATTGGAAATAAGAGTCTCACAGACTTTCTTGCCCAGGCTGGCTTCGAACCCAGTCCTCAGATCTCAAATCTCTTGAGTAGCTAGGATTATAGGCATGAGCCACTGACACCTGCTGTCACTCTCCTTTTGGCTCCCTCAGTTAATTCCAAGAAGAAAATGAAAGTGGGGAACTAAGGAAACAGACATTTTCCCCCCTTCTAACAAGTCTCTTAGATTTGCACATCAAACAATGCTTAGTCACTTTCAATGCTCCGTGTCCTACCCCCAATTTCCATAGACTGGGCTTTCAGGGAATATTTCTATAGTTCATTTTAAGGGTGCCTCATCTCATGCCAAATGAAAGTAGATCTTTTGTCAACTAAACAATTAATGCTCAACCTGAGGCTTTCTCCCAGATATATTTGACAAGTTTTTTTTTGTTGTTGTTCGGGTCCTGGGGCTTGAACTCAGGGCCTGGGCACTGTCCCTTGAGCCACAGCTCCACTTGCAGCTTTTTCTGAGTAGTTTACTGGAGATAATAGTCTCATGACTTTTTTTGCTCAGGCTGACTTCAAACCAAGATCCTCAAATCTCAGCCTCCTGAGTGATTAGGATTACAGGTGTGAGCCAGCAGCACCAGGGTATACTTTACAATTTTGTCTACCTGAAACAATCTTCCCACCTCTTCCACTTGCATAATGAAATCCTATCCACCTTTCCAGATCATCAGCTGGAGCATCATATTCTCTCTCTCTCTCTCTCTCTTTCTCTCTCCATTTTGTTCCTGAGCTGCTACTGGGGCTTGAACTCAGTGCCTTATGGTCTCACTTGGCTTTTCCATTCAAGACTGGTGCTTTACCACTTGAGCCACATCTCCATTTCTAGCTTTTTACTGGTAAATTAGAAATGAAGCTCAGATTTCCTATCCAGGCTGGCTTAGAACCACAGTCCTCAGATGGCAGCCTCTTAAGTAGCTAGGATTACAGGAGGGGGGCGGGGAGACACATCCTCTTCCAATCAGAAATATTGCACCGGGTCACTTTTTGGCTCACGTCATAGGTGAGCATAACTGCAGGAGGGGAGGAACCTGATGGAAATAATATGTCTATCTTGCATCTACTCATGAACACCTTGTGCAGATTGGAAACTGAGGACTGGGTACAGTAATTCATGGTCTATCATTGCAGTGTTTGGAGGCAGGATTGTCAGATGTAGCAAATCAAACGTGCCGGGATGTTCAGTTATCATTTGAATTTCAGATCCACAATGAATACTTAACATAAATATGCCCAGACATAGTAAAAAAAAATCGTTATTTCTCTGCAACTCAAATTTAAGTGGGAGTTGAGTATTTTATCTAGCTCCTCCTGTTTGGGGGGCAGTGTTCCCCCACCCCCACCCCGCCCCCAGGTACCTGGCTTCCTGAACCCTGCAGTTTTCATAGCTAGCTTTTGGAGCAGAGCAGAGGCGCAAGACTCGGAAACCATCACTGCAGATTGAACAAAGGGTCCGCACCCAGCAGGCAGCCTCACTCTGGGGGTTCTCAGAACCCTGTGATCAGCCCCTCCACAATCTCCCCACCCCCCAACCCCCGCTCAGACCACTTGCCCTACCCTGCATCTCGTGACTCGCCACTCTAGGCTGCAGACCCAGGCAGAAGTGTTTGGCTCTGCAATACTTCACTGCCATTGGTAGGCAATTCCATCCATTATTTTAATTCCCGCCCCCAAGACTGACGTTTCCCAGATTACGTCTCTCCCGTAGCCGGTGGCGTACTTTCCGATTGGTTGTAAATGTCGCAGCGGTCTTCGCCCCAGCGTGACGAGGGAGGTGGTGGGGGAGGTAGGCGAACTCTGGGAGTAGAAACCAGCTGAAGCACGTCACCTCCTCCTCCTCCTCCCGCTGCAGTGGTCGCTGGTGTCCCGCCGGCCGTGTGTCACCTTGCACTGCTTGCAGCGGCTGGATCACAATGATGGCTGTGCTCCTCGTGCTCCTGTCCCTGTTGGTGGCAGGTGAGGATCCGGATGGGAGGGACGAGTTCCAGAGGCCCTGCGCCGCGGGGATCGGGGGAGATGGAGGGGGGGGAATCGGGGACTTTGGTGACCCTGGGTGGGCTGTTTCTGGGCTGGTCCTGCAATGTGGACCTTCCCGGGCGTGCCTAATCTCAGCTACCTTCCTCTGGGCTCGTTCCCGGGATCCGCCTACGACAGCGAGGCCTTGTGGGCTCGCCTTACCTTGGCCGGGGCCAGGCTATGGAGGGCTCTGCTCTTGAACCGAGCTCCGCCTTTTAGAGGAAGTATCGTCCTCCCACCACTACAGTGCGGGCTCCGGAATCTGCTTCTACCTTTTAGAGGAAGATATGCTCTCCCCCTATCTGCTTGCCCTCTTCTTCCGCCAGTAGAGGCCCTTCGGGGGATGGGAAACATTGCTCAGTAGCTGTTCAATTGCTGTTTTCTACCCAGAAGAGAAGGCTTAATTCTTAACTGCCACTGGTGGCTGCCTTTAATTTTTTTGCATTCGTAACATGTCATTGTTTCTAGTAGTTGTCATAGGCGACCGATCTTATCCTCATATACGATCAGGATGTGAACATTAAGATGGGGGTCCTTGATTTTATATGATTATTTCGTCAGGGGAATCACAAGAGCACCTCTGGATAGTTTGTCTCAGTTCCCAATTTTAAGGATTTGGAAATCAGATTATGAATTGCGTCCTTTGGGTCACATGACAGATGGCAGGTTTTGAAATGGAACGTGTCTAAGCATGAAGCTAAGTGAGTGAAATTCAGCGCATATTTGGCCTGTGGTGCAGCAATCCTGAGAAGTTTTCACTCTCCTTTTTGGAGTGATCACCACCCAGCATCACCTGGGTACAAAGTAGCAACTTTGGAATTGAATCTAGATCAGCTGTGTTCAAAGCCCACTTCCTTTTCTGTGATGTGTTGTGGCCCAGTTAACACTGCAATATGGGAGTGATGGGGGCTCAGACTGGGCTGCAGGTAATAGGGAACAGGAAGTCAAGTTGAGAACAGTTTGAAGGAGTGGGTGCTCCAAGGTTCCACTTGCATCAGATTAAAAAAAAAAATAGATCGACAGAATGCAGTTGCCAATTGACTGTTGTATGGACACATTTAAAGAAGCTAGTGGCTTTCACCTATAATCCTACCTACTCAGGAGGCTGACATTAGAGAATTAGGGTTTGAAGCCAGCTCAGGCATACTTTCCTTGAGATTCTTATCTCCAGTTAACCAGCGCAAAGCTGCAAGTGGGGCTGTGGCTCAAGTGGAAGAGCACCAGTCTTGAGCATAAAAGCTAAGGAATAATACCCAGGCCTGGAGATCAAGATCTAGTACACACACACTCTCTCTCTCTCTCTCTCTCTCTCTCTCTCTCTCTCTCCTCGGAGGGATGTGCTTGTACTGTGTAGGAGCTCCCACGTTTGGAAGGCAGTTTAATTCTATACACAAGACCAGTGATGTTCTGAAATCTGTAGCATTCCATCCCTCAAGTATCCAGTCTGTGAAAGTTACCTTTGTTTTTAATGCCCCAAGTTTCAGAGTTCTTTGTTTTATTTCTGTTGTTGGCCTCTACAAACATCATTCTGATTTATTCTTTGGGGGAATTATTTTTACTTTATTTCAATTTTAATGCCATTTTTAAATAAAATAAAGAACTTCCTTTTAATAATTTGGCTAAATTGAACCTCTGTTGAAATCTCATGTTTTAATTTATGGCTGACATAATTTTGATCTAGTGGGGTTTTTTGGGGGGGGGAAGGCGGGGGTTGGTTTGGGTTTTGGTCTGAGATAAAGTAATTGTTTCTGTCCCCCGTTGGAACTTGCTCTCCTTGCTAGAATGGTCTGGTTCATACAGGCAGAAATCCGAACTTCTGCATTGTTGGGTCTTGTCAGATGAAGTCAAATGATTATTTTCCATAATGACTAAGTGTGACTTAATGGAAAACATCTTTAAGGGCTCTGAGTTCACTATTTGAAGAAGAAGAGGAGGAGGAGGAGAATGAAAAATCCTTTAAAACTGTGCTATGAGGGCTGGGAAGGTGGCTCAGTGGTAGAGTGCTTGCCTTGCATGCATGAGGCCCTGGGTTTGATTCCTCAGCACCACATAAGCAAAAAGAAAAAAGCCGGAAGTGGTGCTGTGGCTCAAGTGGTAGAGTTCTAGCCTTGAGCTGAAGAGCTGAGGGACAGTGCCCAGGCCCAGAGTTCAGGCCCCCCCCCCAAAAAAACAAAAAACTGTGCTATGAAATTAGAAGGAACTAGGGTTATGAATACCACCTCCTGAAGCATATTTCAATTTTTTTTAAATGCAAGCAGTTTAGCCTGACATGAAAGGGCAAATGTGGAATTCAAAGGAATATTGGGGAGAAAGAGGAATTGTTTTTGGTTACTGATGTCTGGGAAGATGTTTTCTTTTAGTAGATTGGCTCTGTCCACCATTCCTAGAAGAGCAGAGCTTGGTAGAGTTCTCAGAAAGGAGGACATTTTAGCCAGACTGGGGAGGTTGAGAGAAATTTCCCCAGGGAAGGTGCATCATAGAGAAAGCTTGTGAAAGATTAGGGCAGGAAGAACAGGCATTTGTAGGTAAATCAATATGCATAAAAATACAAAGGTGGGGCTGGGAAGGTGGCTTAGTGGTAGAGCGTTTGCCTTGCATGCATGAGGCCCTGGGTTCGATTCCTCAGCACCACATAAGCAGGAAAAAAAGCCGGAAAAAAGCCGGAAGTGGCGCTGTGGCTCAAGTGGTAGAGTGCTAGCCTTGAGGTGAAGAGCTGAGGACAGCACCCAAGCCCAGAGTTTAGGCCTCATGACTGGACCCCCCCCCCCAAAAAAAAACAAAAACAAAAACCCACAAAGGTAGGGTTGGTAGAGTGGCCCAGTGGTAGAGCATCTGACTGCCTAGCAAATGCGAGGCCCTGCATTCAAATCCTTGGACTGTTAATAAAGCAATATAAATTTTAAGAAGCACAAAGGTATGAATGCAAAAGAGCAAATAGTTTGTAGAGGGACCTAAGTCAGAGAGATCCCAAAAATGAAGTTGGTGAGGTGCCTAAGGTGTTTGTTAAGTTTTGAATTTGCCTTGAAGGCTCTGGGCAGTAAGTGAAGGCATTTAATTGGAAAGGTGAGCAAACAAATCTGTATTTTGATGAGCAAGGAAAAGTGGGAGTGCTATGATTGTCCTAGGCAGCCAGTTCTAGCAAACCTGGTGAGGGATGTGGAGGAGGAGGATTTGGGAAGATAATTAGAGGGGTGGGGGGAAGACCCACAGAAAATAGTAGCGAATACAGAAGCATTTAAAGCCACTGGGTAGAAGATGACATCACCGTTGGAGCTAGAGAATGCAGGAGAAGCATGGGGAAATGATGGAGAATCCAGTTCTGAACCTGTTTGAAGGGTGGGTAGGATTTAGGACAGAATGTGACCAGGTTGTTGTTGAATATGTAGGTCTAAAGTTCAAGGGAGATGAAAGCTGAAAATAGGAATCTGGGAACCCATAGTGTGAGTGTGGTTCTGTGTGTATCTGTGAGTCTGTGGGTCTATGTGTCTGTGTGTCTGTGTGTGTTTATGCTGGTCCTGGGGCTTAAACTTAGCCTGGCTAATGTCCTTGAGTCATCTTTGCTCAAGGTTAGCACTCTACTACTTGAGCCCCAGCTCTACTTCTGGTGTTTTTGGTGGTTATCTGGAGATGAGTCTCACTGACTTTCCTGCCTAGGTTGGCTTTCAACCAATATCCTCAGAGTGCCACTGCCGCCGGCACCCAGCTTATGTCTTTTTTGTTTTTAATCTCATCAAATATTTTTTTTGTAGAATGTCTCTTGATTTGAGTTTTGTCTTCTCATGATTAGAGTGAGAAGAATATCACACAGGTATCTCATCCTTGTCAAAATACCTATTTTTTTTGTTTGGTCTTGGGGCTTGAACTCTGGGCCTGGGTGCTGTCCCTGAGCTCTTCAGCTCAAGGCTAGCACTCTACCACTTGAGCCACAGCGCCACTTCTGGCCTTTTCTGCTTATATGTGCTGAGGAATCGAACCCAGGGCCTCATACGTGTGAGGCAAGCACTCTACCGCTGAGCTACCTTTCCAGACCCTCTATGTATGTTTTATAATCCAGAACAAATGTAAACCCTATGATTCTAGTACCAGTGAATGCCACATATGCTTATGCATACACCTATGCTGTATAGCTGTGAAAATTAAATGTCTGGGTTGCTTTGTCTATATCCCAGGCATCCCCTCATCAACTTTACTTACATATCTCTGTATATACATACATGTGCTACTTGACATTTTTGTGCCAAAAGAATTGACATCTAAGCAGTTGGGGCATTACAGTTTTAAGTGACAGGAATAGGAAAAAAATCAACAAGAGGAACAACCATAGGAATTTGAAGGAAAAGCAAGAGTCCTGGCATCAGTAATACTAGGGTAGGGGATTTGTTTTGTGTGTGTACCAGTCCTGGGGTTTGAACTTGGGACCTAGGCTCTGTCCCTGAGCTCTTTTTTTGTTGTCAGTTGTGGGGCTTGAACTTGGGGCCTGGGAGCTGTCCCTGAGCTCTTTTGCTCAAGGTTAGTGCTCTACCACTACCACTTTGAGCCACAGCACCATTTCTGGTTTTCTGGTGGTTAATTGGAGATAAGAGCCTCACAGACTTTCCTACCCAGGCTGGCTTTGAACCAGGATTCTCAAGATTTCTCAAGATTTACTTCTGAGTAGGTAGGATTACAGGCGTGAGCCACCAGCACCTGGTCAAGGCAGGGGATTTTCAAGGAGGAAATTGCCAGGGTCAGATGCTTTGGAAACTTCCATAACTAAAAGGACTAAAAAGTGTGCTTGGGATTTGTTGAGCTGTTGCAGTGGAGCATTATGGGTAGATCTGTGAGTTAGGTAGGGAACAAGAAATGAAGAAGGAGAGAAAGAAATGGTGCTTGGCTCCAGTTCCAGGCTGCTTCCTGTGAAGGCAAGCAGGCACTAGCTGATAGGACCAAAGGAGGTTGTT